TCGTCATTCAAGTCAAAATAAGCGATAATATAGAAAGAAGAGACAGCGAACACCATGGAGTTTGATCAAATCTGAAAAGAAATGAATGAAATGAACGGAATCATAATAATGGACTACATCAACTATCGGACAAAGAAAGTGACGCAAATGAAGTCGAAAACCCCAATAATAACAAAGGAAATATAATAAAGAAAAGTTTTCTGCTTAGCAGACACTAGCGTCCAATGTTTGAAATTATTTTCGTACTGTAAGCGCAACCTTGTGCTCTTTCCGAACTTTTGCACAGTGGAACGGCCGCCGGCCGGCATTATTTACTCGTCCGGTGGCCGGCCGGCGTTTGGCTCCGCCCAAAATGATGGAACGGCCGCCAGCCGGAAGGCCGTCGTCGAACGGTCGCCGGCCGGTGCGTGTCTGAGGCATAGGCAAGCGCCATACTTGATCAATACTTGATCCGCTTGATCCGCTTCATCATTGGTTAGTTCACTGAACTGATCAATGATAAGGCCGATCAAGTGGGTCAAGTGGATCAAGCGGATCAAGTATGGCGCGTGCCATAGAAATGCGACGTCCATCAATGTTCATTATTCGAGTCGAATAACTGAAACCATCAAATTATCACCAAGTGGCAGGAACTTGATAGATACTTATGTGCGGAAAATGACAAAGTTTGGTGCAATTTCATAGGCTATAAGTGAATTTCTTGCTAATCCGGTGATAAGTTAGTACTGCGTTAAAGTATTAGATCTAGCGTCCGACCTACAACCAATCCGTGTTTTTGAGCTAGGTCCCAGACGTAGATGCGATAAGTGGAGAAATTCTCTGACCCCCTCACTTTAGGGCCGGCATCTGGCTAATCCCTTCACCTGAGTTGAGACTAGAATAAAGGCATAGTGGCAGAATCAAACAGCTGTTACAACGGCACTTTTGTTTCTAAAAGAAACGCCACTGCTCTTTTCCTCAGACATCAAGACTGCAAGAGAGTATCGAAGCAACAACGAGGCATGCTTGAGACATTCTGCGCACTCAAAGTGGCGTTGGTAATGAAACATGATCAAAAACTGAAGTGATCTTTGATTTTTTGAATAATTAACGTCGTATCAATGAATACAAACTGTCGTAAGAAAGAGTTGAGTCGGAGTAGAAAATTTGGACTAGCTAATGATGGACATGTTGACAAAAATCGTGCCAAATCCCCCTTGACTAGAGAGAACGATAACAAATAAAAGAGCAGTTAGATTACTCGTTTCTCAAATTTCCGAATCATTTATAAAAGTTCGAAAATAACCTTGATTGGAAAAGATAATCACTCAGAATTGGCTGATATTGTAGCTATTTAAAACTGTTCGTATCTCGCTTTACAGAACAGCTTGGAAAAAACGGTCTATGTCGATTTCTCGTGCTCTTAGCTATCGAATGGTATACAAAGTGTTGGTGCACAAATCTTTTCCAGTCCAAAAAAGTCTTGCCCCGGCGACCTGTAGAAAGCAAGACCGGGGTGGAGCACGTTAATACTAGATATCTCCCCATCAGTTTTTAAAAGCCACGAGTTTTTTTCACCTAACAACCTATACACTTTAAAAAGCTCACGAAACAGGGATTCGACGTAAACCATCTCTTTTTCTCTAGCTCTCTAGATACATGGCATTTTAGCCGAGAACATGTGTGTTTTTGTGAAAAAAATTTTATGCTAAGAGTGATTGGAATTGCCCAGTTGTCTAACTCTATTGCAGAGCAAGACTTGGACGACTTGACGTGCCATATTTGCAATCAGCGCCATGAAAAGGCCTGGATTATATTGGCGGTTCAGCGTGTCCCATGTCGATTGCCTTCCGCACAGATGTCAGCTTTATATGGTCGAGGCGAGAAGAATGAGCACTTCCCAAAAATGGGAATCAAGAATACGCAGAATCTCATAAACAACACAAACATCACAAACACATTCTAATCTACAAACATATGCATCGGTCTTCAGCATATCTTTTCTGATCGAGATCCGCGATATGACTAAAGATATTATATGGAGATCGAGAATTCGTCCGAACGCTAGCTTTGATCAATTCTTGTTACCCTAATTTCCAAGCTATTGGCCGCAAAGGATTTTTTTTTAAAAATCAACCAGCCTAAACACGCAAGGACTTCGCAACAAAAGCACGCTATACAGTGCTGTGCATTGCTTGAGAACATCGTGCGGCATAATAATCGCTTCCCGAAACAAAGTGAGGTGGCTGAGCAGTTCGCCTAAAAATTCCAAAAATGTGCTGATACATCTGAAAATGGGATACTAAGAAGGCTGAAGCGCTGAGTTTGATTCGAGCACTGTAATCGAGTCATTGGTTGTGACTTCGGTTACCATGTCCAGAATAAACAAGCCTTGCAAGCGTGATGGAAATTGAGTTAATATGCAGTACTGCCATTTTTGGACTTGGCAAAAGCGGGGGAACTGAGAAGCATACGATTGAAGCCTTTAGATGGTCTGCGACTTACGAAGTCCAAACAAGGGTAATGGCTATAAGTCTGAGGCTGAAAATTTTCCATTTGACTGGAGTTATTTTTAGCTCCAACCATCTTTGAGTGAGATAGGAAATTGTCGCGGATATAACGGTAAGAAAACTCTGTTAAAATGATTATTTCGTTAATGGTGTTAAGCGAGCTAAGTAAGGCAAAGTAGGTCAATCAAACTGAGTAAAATGAAAGTTAATAATAAAATATGAAAACATGCCACATCTACTGATTTTAAGAAAATAAAAAATTAATAATGAAAGAAATTTGAAATTCACAACTCATTGCAAATAATAAAAGTTAAAAATTGATAGAACCACCTCTGATAATCCTTCAGCAAAACCGCATTTAGTCTGAAGTATTATAGAAAAGTGAATTCGATCACTAAGAATTCTTCATTAGAAAACAAGGATCTCCAAACCTGCATCGTCAATGGATATTTAGTGTACTTTGATTTCATGACGTTTGATTTTCTACTCATTCATTTTTGTAGTTATTTGTGAATTGTTGGAAATTTTTCGGTGTACTTTTGTATTCGACTAGATGGTTCTCAATAAAATATGGCTTTTCTCTGCTGTTTAAAATGATATAGCTATTGAGGATATTACGCTGTCATTGGCCCACTCAGTTTGATTGACCTACTTTGCTTTATTTAGCTAGGTATGAAACACTATTTAACATCACTAGGTATGAAATAATCATTTTGACACAGTTTTTTTCACGTTATATCCATGACATTTTCCTGTAATTGTTCTCGTCCATTTTCGACGTAAAGGAAAGAAAAGAATTATTAGATTTTTGAGAATACTCAATTTTCCTAGCTTCTGCTTCTTTCGAGTTTTTGAAGTGATTTGATTTTGCAATCATTTTCCTCTAGAAAACCCTCCTCTTCACCTTTGTTTAGCTGCATGTTTTTCAAAAAACCTGAAATTTTTGCCGTTCAAAATGGTATAGATATCGAGGATATCACGCTTTCCTTAGACTGATATCGCACCTCAGCTTGACGAGGTGCGAGGAAACCTCTCGGCAAGATTAGACGACGAGCGTCATTACTGTACCATTTGCACCGGCTTTGCCGGCAGCTCTGGCGGCTGGCTGCGGCAGCAGTCGGCTGCCCGGGTGCCACTTGCACGGCTCCCCACATTCGCGTCTGGCCGGTGGCGATGTTGGGAGGGCTAACGGAAGCGAAAAGATCGTTCCTGAAGCTGAGAGAGTGATTTTACAGAGTGAAGGTCGCCACTGCTAATTTCATTCCTGAATTAGGACCCCTTTTTGCCGTTTCGAGCTCTCGTGTGGATTTTCGAGTTCAGCGCGGCTATGGGCCCTGGCAGGCAAAAAATCTCGAAATCAACTTCTTGCGCAAACAATGTACTTAAAGGCAGCGTCCCGGCAAAAAAATGGGTGCCGGTTTTTCGTGGCTTTGTTAAAGTAGACCTCTACCTAAGCAATGACTGAAGTTTGGAGCGAAAAAGGGGTCTACCAAGCCTGAAATTTGCTCCGAAAGTGGCCCAGATCTTACGGTAGGCCCAAATGTCGTCCGCACAGCGATCTCGAACTGCTAGGCCAGAGCACACATAACGCACACAGTCATGATCGCAGGGTCCCGCAACGACTCTGTGTCTCTACCTTGCATGCATCTCGTACTCGTCCAAGCCTACCGTAAGACGCGCCACTTGGGGGGGGGGCATTTGTAAACTTTGTAGACCCCTTTCGCGCTGCAAACTTCTGTCGTCGCTTAGTTAGGGGGTCTACCATTACATTGCTACCAGAGCCAGGTACCCCTCCCCCTCCCCCCAGTCTGGTGACTCAAAATTTCCTCCTCCCATATTTTGACATTCTGGGGCCTTTCCGTGGCTCTGAATAAGCTATAAAGTTAAATCGTCTAAAACCATTGAAGAAACCGATTCCTGGGAACCCTGTTTCGAGGGAGCGGACGAGCCTGTAATGATCGGACTGTTCATCTCCTCGGCTTGCCAGCGGGGTGGGGCTGCAACTGCAAGGTTGCAGTTGCACTCCATTATCGATCAATGCATATGCCTCGTACTAATGGGGAGGTTTGTGATACGTATTACAGGCAAAGGATCGGAACAACGCAGGCCGGATACTTGGGGCCCATTTGAGAACTATGTGCTAATCTGCGTGGGGTGGATTTTGAGTGGACTCTGACTTCAAGTGCAATTTTCCTACTCAAAGGAGGTCATATTGCAACGGAGTTGGGCAATGGCCCAGTAGGAGGGTCTTCCTACAAATTTCGTAAAGATCCAGTCGGCCTATCTGCTTTTCAGTGCATTACGGAAAGGGTCACGCGGGAACTTCCCGTGATATTCGTCAATATTAGCAATTGTGTGCGCCGTACGCGCTTAGATATATGCTAGCGATCTTTAGAGCAGTCAAATTGCTAATCTTTTGAAGTGAACCAGTCACGTTATAAAGGGACATAATCTCCTTATATTCTGTTTGGAAGCAGTAAGCTCACCTTTGAGATGTCGTGCAAAAAGAACGGGACCAATGACTTTATTGCTACAAAAAGCGATCAAATTTTTTTAAGTAGAGGTAGGCGGGTACTCGCATATCCTTATATCCAAATTTCTGCATTTTGCTATCTATGTATCCATAAGGAGTTAGTTTCTCGATCCACAAAAATTAACCTCGCAAATACGCCGCCGTTCTCCCGGTTGGTTTTCACATTTCTCACACTGTAAAAAATCAAAATAACATCTTTTTGGGTTGACGACAACATGGTAAAAACCTTAGGATCTTTTGTCGAGTTTATCGGAGAATTCTTAGGCCAATCGAACAAGTAATGTCTTCTCAGTCGACACTTCTCTTTACAAATTCTGTGTTGAATTGTGTGTCCTAACACATGCTTGCAACCGCACTAAAAGTCTCTCAAGAAAATTATGATTAGCACTTTGAAAAAACTATACGCACCCCTCTGCCACGCTTTGCAGCATCACAGACATCTGTTAGAAGTAGAATGAAGAACAGTTCTAATGCGATCATTATTGTTTTATTGAATCTGCAATAATAATATTTATTCTTGGTCTTAGGAAACATTTTGTTTTGCGAAAACTGAAAGCATTACGAAATGCTTAATAGCTCAGACTTGTTCAGAATTGCTTGATTCAGAACATTTAATGTCACCAATTATGAGTGGAAAATTTTGCGATGGAGCAAGATGTAAACAAACATACAGTATGGCAAATCTATATCAAAACAGCTTGCATAATTTAGGTAGTTTGAGAAATTCGTGCCTTTTCCATCGCGTCACTGTTTAGCTGACAATGAAGATGGCTTACGGCTAGGTATCGTTCGAAGATCTGAGATTTTGCGTCTTTGAAGCTCCGCAGGGAGCTGTTCTTCATCAAAGTGAAGCAAAGGTGAAGCAAAAGAATTTCCCTTGCATAGAGAGAGATGTCTTCTTCAAAAACAAAGATAAAACTACTGATCTGCAGGAAGGATATGCTGACAAAACGACGGCGCTAGTGCTTTGAACTTCAATGAGCAACTTTAGAAAGCCGTTTGCGAGTAGCGTTTCTTGAGTTTGCGGGATTTGCGGGCAAGATTTGGTCTGCTTTTGTTTGTCTTGAAGGTAGTGGCTCAGCAAAATTTTGCGCATACCCTATATATGAGAAGCAGAGCAAGACCGAGCGACGGTATGCTGCTCCCGCCAAGAATTGTATCCATCTCCGTACACGCAAGCCATTCCTACACGCCCCCGGGTAAGAGCGCTTTCAGACCGCGCCGGTTTCAGCTTTTGCAGCAGATAGCTGCTTTTGCACTAGTTGCCGCTATTGCAGCGGAAGCGCTGTGGATCTCGCCGCTTATGCTATTAATCTCGACGCGCATGCAGCGCGGGAATTCGATGAACAAATTTTCCAGCAATTATATAAGGCTTTCTCTTCCTGTTAGACTGTGGTTTTGAGGTCGTTTACCTGATAAATGATGCACAAGGACTTAAACATTGCACCAGAGACCAGATGCGCCGAAGACCCGCATCCAGCTCATGCTCGAAGTGCCATGATCGCATTCTCTTTTGAACATTTAGTCACGTTCCAATATGCTTCTTATGATGCACCGCAAAGGGATACGAAAATATAGAGTGTTTATAAGTCCATTACACTGCATGGTCGTAATCTTATATATAAAGCTGAATGTCTGTTTGTCTGTCTGTCTGTCTGTCTGTCTTTATGTATGTACCAGAGGTGCGATAGTCGGAGCCGATTCTCCGCCTACCTTCACTTTTGAGCTGGTACAGGGTGACCACCTTCACTTTTGGGTTTGAAAATTTTTTTTGCTAAAGCTCAAAAGAAGGAAAATAAGCAAAAGGAATGTAAAAGAAAGTATTAAGAGCATATATCTATGTGGTAGGTGGATCCAGGCAGTAACCGCCGAGAATCAGAATTTCGAATGATAAAATATTGAAAAATCGTGAAAAATCATTCCACTGTTACAAATCTGCTGGCTGAAGACCTCCGCAGTTGCGACTTCATAGGTTTTGAAGGATAATGTTCTACCAAACAGTGAAAAAATCAGTTTGATTTGAGGGGTGGCCGCCGAAAACGAAAATTTTGAAAAACCTCAAAAATCTTCTCAGTTTTGCTTGCTTCAACTGACAATTTAACTCTTATAAATCCGGACTTTAAAAATGTGTGATGTTGCGACTTCATAGGTTTTGTAGAGTGAGGTTTGCCCTATCAGAATGTGCCTTAGCTGTATCGATCCATTGAAACATCGCCGAGATCCAGGCTCTTAAAAAAGCGGGTAAAAAACCGTTTTTCAGCTTATAACTTCTTCAGAACTGCATGAGTCATGTTGCGACTTCATAGTTTAGATTCTCCTCTTCAAGAGCTTTCAGATGATATATAATATGTGGGGGATTTAATGTTTCTTGCGGCTCGAACCCGGGGTGGAGTACTCCTCTTCACTAATTCTCCACCCCGCCCATTTCAATGTATTGGCGGGAGGCCGCCAGTGGAGAATTAGTGAAGAGAGGTACTCCACCCCCGGGCATATGCCGTGGGAAGCGTGAATTCCCCACATATTATATATCATCTGAAAGCTCTTGATGAGGGAAATCCAACCTATGAAGTCGCAACATGAATTATGCAATTCTGAAGAAGTTATGAGCTGAAAAACGGTTTTTTACTCGGTTTTTTAAGAGCCTGGATCTCGGCGATGTTTCAATGGATCGATACAGCTAAGGCACATTCTGATAGGCCAAACCTCACTCTACAAAACCTATGAAGTCGCAACATCACACACCTTCAAAGTCCGGATTTATAAGAGTTAAATTGTCAGTTGTCATTAAGCAACCTAAAATTGAGAAGATTTTTAAGGTTTTTCAAAATTCTCGTTTTCGGCGGCCACCCCTCGAATCAAACTGATTTTTTCACTGTCTGGTAGAACAACATTTACCCTTTAAAACCTATGAAGTCGCAACGCGGAGGTCTTCAGCCAGCAGATTTGTAACAGTGGAATGATTTTTCACAATTTTTCATTATTTTATCATTCTAAATTCTAGTTCTCGGCGGTTACTACCTGGATCGACCTACTTTCTTCGCTGTACATTATAACAAAATTTGATTAATAAAATACGTACAGTTCCGCTGAGTTTTACTTCCAAGTACACTATTTGATAGGCACATTTACTTTAGATATTTATGACGCTGTATACATAAAAATATGCTTTCAATGATCCCTTTTGCATTTGTTTTGCTTATTTTCCGCGCACTAACGGCAATAACCTGGAAGGTTAGGCGTTAATGCTCCTCCCCCCCCCCCGGCCGACGTTTTTGGGAGGTGAGTGTCCGGCACTACCATCTTCACTTTTGGCCGGCCGGTGGTAGCTGGGACCACCTTCACTTTTGATGGGCCCGGCTCCCCCCATCGCACCTCTGGTCTGTACGTATGTTCCGAATAGAAATTTCCGTTTCTGAACCGATCCGGACCAAACTTGGCACACATACACTTCGGGCCCCGGCGGGTGTCATAGGCTACTTTTCGTCATCGATCGATGTCGCTATTATCGATTTTTTGCAAAATATGAGCTACAGGGCTGAGAGTTGGCACAGGGTAATCGCGCATGCTGATTACAAATATATCAGGTTGTCCCATAAGTTCCGTCCGTTTGAACTTTCAATCGCAAAAAGTCATGAACTTCTTGGTTTTAGACAGGCTCCAAGGAACCGTTTGATAGAGCAAAACAAGCTCTACAAGATGAGCTTCTCACTTTCGCATCAGTTCAAATCCATGGCGAGTTTGAAGCCAAAAACCAAAAAAATCCAAAAGCCCAAAATATAAAGAAAAAATCGTAACTCCGCTTAGAAAAATTCAGGAAAATTCCTAACTTGCTCACAGATACCCTATCCACATCAAACATTTATATATACTGTTGTATTTTTTCCTTGAATAGAAATCGAGAAAACGAAAATTTTCATGTTTTTGCCAAAGTGAAGCTGTGCTGTTCTCGCACTAGTAGTTGTATACTACAGACCAGTACAAGTACAGACACAAATTTTCAGCGCCCTACAGGCTTTAGTTCTCAAGAAATAATCGTTTTAAGACGGGAACCTGACTGTGCGAAGCTAAATTCAGTGTTTCTAGAGAACTAAAGCCTGTAGAGCGCTGAAAATTTTTCTCTGTACTTGTACTGGTCTGTAATACAACTACTAGTGTGAGAACGGCACAGCATCACTTTGGCAAGAACGTGAAAATTTCCGTTTTCTCGATTTCTAAAAAATACAACAACAGTATATATAAATGTCTGATATGATTAGGGTATCTGTGAGCAAATTAGGAATTTTCTAGGATTTTTCTTAACGGAGTTGCGAAATTTTTTTGTTTTTCGGGCGGTTAGATCTTTTTGGTTTTTGGCTTCAAACTCGGGATGGATTTGAACTGATGCGAAAGTGAGAAGCGCATCTTGTAGAGCTTGCTTTGCTCTATCAAACGGTATATTGGAACCTGTTTAAAATCAAGAAGTTCATGACTTATTGCGATTGAAAGTTTAAACGGAAGGAACTTATGGGACAACCTGATATTATTGACAGGGCCGGGCGGCGCCGGGTAAGGCATCTAGTTATGAAATAAAATCGCTGGATCAATCATGAAATAGAAACCGCATCAACCACGAGGTATACAAAATTTGCTCATAAACAAAAGATAAAAAAAGCAAAAGGAAAGAGCAAAGATGCAAATTGGTCAAGTGTATTTATGTTATGCCCACTCATTGCCGATGATGTGGTTTACATATGCTTTCAATCATGCATCATCACGAACTTCGGCAAATACAGGGTGTCCCAAAAAAATGTGAACACTGTTTGATTGTTAATAACTTCCTTGCTTTCATGTCTTTCGCCGAGGTTAAGGCACCGTTTTATAGAGCGAGGTTCAACTTAGATTTGTAGTATGGAGCAAATCACCGATTGCTGTTCGTTACTGTAGGATTACGGTATGAACTTCGGCAAGGATTAGGTCATTGGAGGCCATATTCTGCCTCGGAACAAACCAAACAGGCCAGAAACTTCTATACTAGGGTAATAGAAGACGCTGATTTCGAATATGAAGTTTCCACTTCACTGTGATGCTTCTTTCCAAAGTTATCCCAGGTAAACCGTAATTATTGAATTTCCAGCATTTGTCAGAAATGTGACTACACCATCAAAAAATCTGAAAACACTCGTAAAAAGCTGTCTAATGGAATCAGCGTGCACGAAAACCCTAATACACAAATTTTCAGATTTTTTGAAAAAAAATTTTGTCAAATGGCAAATTTCACAATAGATTAATATGCTAGAAGTTCATACCGTAATCCTACAGTAGCGAACAGCAATCGGTGATTCGCTCTATACTACAAATCTAAGTTGAACCTCGCTCCACAGAATGGTGTCTTAAGCTCGGCGAAAGACTTGAAAGCAAAGGAGCTATTATCGATCAAACAGTGTTCACATTTTTTTGGGACACCCTGTAAATGTGAATATCGCACCTAGCATTACAAAGCGCATCACTCGCAAGAACAAA